ACTGAAATCAAGTTAAAACGAAAAAATCAAGTTCATGAGCTCCACCAAGCAATGTACACAGTACATAGTAGTAATTGCGAAAATCCCGCCTAGAATTAATTGGCTTGTTTTGCTCCAAAGGAAATGACAAAGCCTAAAAGTAATACCAGAACCATTTTGACAATGACCATGACCTTAGATTACACAAAATAGAAAGATAAAAGAATCAAACTTTATAAACTGACCTATAAGGGGCCGCGCGAACACGTACCCCTCTACCACAAATTATGACGTAGAAGATGTTACGCTGACACCCCTCCCAAGTGGAATGGAGACCGCCGACCTAGGCCATTGGCCTTATTGGTAGCTCCCTCCTATAAAATTTGGCATCAATCCACCGTCAGGATTCATCCCCTTGTATAGTGAGGTTAAGAATTCTGAACTGAGCTGATCAGTCATTCTCCAAAAAAAACCCACTTCACTCATATTAGTTCTTCCGCTTTCAATCTTTCACTTGACGAGTATCCATAATCTTGCCCTTGTGGTAGAATAGAAAGAGATCTCAGACACCAAATAGGATCTTTAGATGAGATCTAAATCTAGCCAAGCGATATTTGGTTTTCTTGTATTACGTGGCATATTATCCATCGCACAGCCGGATGATGTAATCACATTAACAGGCAGTTCACCAAATTTAATATAACTAAGGGGATGTTTGGCATCAATGCTGATTCTTCCTTACCAATTTTTTTTAAAAATCGGTAAATTTTGAAATAAGTATTTTCAAAAATCAGTATTTTTTGTTATTTGGTATGATTTCTGTCATCTAAGCTGATTTTTGAGAAGTTGGCTTCGAGTTTGTTTGGTACTAATTCTCAAGGGTTGGTTATTTTTGTATTAGAGTTATTATTCAATGACATATTGGCCATGTCATCCTCAAAAAAATCGGAATCAGCTAGAAATCAAGAAATCACCAAAAAAAGGTGATCCTTGAAAAGGGCTGATTTTAAAAATTGATTTATTACCGATTTTCTGAAAATCACCAAAATCGGCCAATCAAATAGAAATTTCAATGCCGATTCCTCTAACGCTGATGTGGCTCCAACAAGGCAATGAAATTCAAGAAATTATCACTGATGTGAAGCATCACACCAAGCATTGACATCATAGACAACCAAACCACTTAAAAGCATCAGCAAAGAAAAAAAAGTTGGAGTGTTTTCCAACGTTTTTTTTTTTTTTGTGATTTTCACATAGGAGACACCAAAGGCCATTCAAAAAAATGTTTGGCGAGAAAGTTCAAAATAATTTTTTTACATAAGAAAACCCATTTGGAAAATAGAAAAAGAAAACTTTATTTAACTTTTCATATTTTCAAGCAGTTATTTTGAACAAAGAAAGTTGGGATCAAACAAATACTAAAAACGATATCAGATTTGGTATCCACAATACCATGCTCACATTATCCGTACAGTCCCATGCAGCCGTGTATTGGGTATACCTCCCTATGAAAATAAACATACAACTATGGAGATGTTCCTAATGCATGGATATAAAAGACTGTAAGTAGGGTGTGAAAACAGTTCTGTGAGAACTGAATCAAAATTCACTAAAAAGTGCTTTTTAAAAAGTTGGTTTTAAAAAAAATAACTTTTTAAAAGCCCATATAGGCTGAAAAGTGCTCCCAAAAACGGCCTTAGTAATGTTAATATCAGAACTCTCATACATAGGACTAAGTCTTTATTTTAGTCACAACTATTAATAAGATCAGCCTACATCTACATTAATTTTGAGTTCCGATTATGATAGGGTCAAAATTAAGTTTACTTGCTTGTTGAAATTCAATCTCATTAGAGATTAATTTCTTAGGTTTGATTAATTGATTACATAGTTAAACACTTGCACTTTTAGTTTTGTAAAATTAGTTTTCTATTTCTTAATATTCCCACTAAAGCTTTTGTTTTTCACTCTTTATAACTTGTCCCGTATGAAAAAATTATAAGATGTAGGGGTGAGCAAATGGATAGGTTATACACGGAATCAAATGGAACTGACCTCGAACCGGCCTTGAACCACCCAATTTATTACATCGTAGGGTTTAGTTCCAAATTCTTGGAATCGGGGTTTTATCCTACCCAAACCGACCCGATGAACCGGTTTTGGTTTGCCTTGATGGAACTGACCTTGTGGAACCTGCCTTTGAATTAAACTTGCCTTGGAATAAACCCCAAAGTACTTTTTGGGGATGTGAAGATTTGAACCCAAGTATTCATGGTTAAAAAGCCATGGTCTCACTTGACCATTAAGTTACTTAAGTTATTCAATCATTTGTTTTCATTTTAATATTTGAATATTTATAATAAGTAATGTAAAAAGTAATATTTACAAAAAATTAAATTTAATTTATAAGTTTTTAATGATATAATGATAATCAACATATTAAGTTTATCCAATTTAATCAATAAAGATAATATAAATTTTAAACTACATATTATATTTATTAACAATCAAGTTTTTAAAGAACATGCACTTGAACTTTATATATGCACCAAGGATGTAATGTCCACATAGAAACACCATGGGTAAATTAAATTATGACCATTGATGTTTAATCTACTTAATTGGATGGATCAAAAGACAATTTAAAATTTTAACTCTTAAACAGTTATATACTGTTTTTAAGTCTTTAAAATTTTCTCAAATTTATACTGTTAGGACAGCCAGGGTAATGTGAGTCTATTTTGGGCCCATGGTACAATTTTTCACATGAAAGATTCCTCACCCCTATTATCTTGTACGACTTAACTCTTTTCTGCCACATGGAGGAATTTATGTGATAGATCTAAACCATTCACCACACATATAGGGATGTAAGTTAGACCAGGTTAGGCTGAGGTCAACATTGGAATCATGTTGAGTTGATTTTTTCATTTCTTTTTGCTAAAACGTTTTTATTTCTCAGACTTAGATTGACAGTTTTTTTAGCAGATTTGCAGGTTTTGGATTGGCTGATTTTAGCATTATTTCATTATTTTTTGCATTAGGACAAAGCCTTGGAAATGGAATTAAATTCAAAATCGTAATAGTTTGTTCCCATGGCCTGTTTGGTTTAGACAGGAATCAGAATGGGAATTGGAATAAGTTGGAATGGGATTTTATTCCCAAGAAAAGGGGAAGGAATGACCATTCCCTCAAATGGGGAAAACCATTCCATCAGGAATAAATGGGATTCCGATTCCACCGAACCAAACAGTTGGTCATTCCAATTCTAATTCCAGATCTCTATCCACGCTAACCAAACAGGCCCTTAGAATATTGATGCATACATATGGATACATAAGTTCATGGATGAATGGTTACATATATGTATTAATACATGTGTACATGCACATATGATATTTATAAGACACGTCAAGAAGGGGTTGGATTGGATTGCCCAAGGCTCAAATCTAACCCAACAATTAAGAGGTTGTTTGGTATCGATGGCATTTATAAGATAAACGTTTTGTACTATTTTTTCACACCTCAGCGCCATTAGGTGCCATATAAGCCAAACAGTGAAAAATTGGTCTTGAAAATGAAAAACGCTAAATTTGGTGTTTTCTAATAATCGGTTCACATGATTTTCGAGAAATAACTTTTTAGGTGTTTTTTTTATTAAACGCATCTCCAATGCTGAGCTGGCACTGTTTATTCCAAAAGCTACATCAACACCAAACACCATCTAAATTGTATTCATATTTTTCAATCCTAACTTGACAAAGAAGTTCAACCCAACTTTTTTTTATATTGGTTTGGGTTAACCCGGTCCAAGTTGCACCTCTAACCTCTAGATTGGCCAGGCATCCAAGCCTCTGGTCCACACCATCAACATACCCCACCTGATATTGGTGGTTTCTCCGACACATTTCTTAGATGTTCAAAATTCAAAGGTATTTCAACTTAAAACATGCAAAGTAGAAGGAGAAAAAGATGAAGGGGTTATTATTTACACGCAATAAGCACCAGGAGAAAAAGATGAAAGGGCTTAGGCAGGCTAGGTTGGACCCGGCCCAACCCTAAGCATTGGGCTTAAAGGCCCTAAGCCCATACTGAGCCCAAGGTCAAATCTGATTTGTCCACCCCAAGCCTAGCCCGAACTAGAATTTGACATGGTTGCGCGCAAGCCCAGGCAGGGCTCTGGTTGGCAAATTAGGCCCAATGTATTAAAAGGTTACATGAGCCTTTTTACTATTAATAATTTAATTTTATATATATTTGCATAAAATGTATGCATGCATATGTGTGATGAGATTACTAAGAACCTACATCAGAATCTGATCTGAAAACCGTTTGGATTTAAATACTTCGAATCCGTTAATCAGATTCGGATTTAATCCAACTTTGCTTTAAATTTTCTAAAATATCAGAAAAATTAAAATTTTATTTACTTTTCAACTTTTATATATAATAAATTAATATAAATATAACATATTAAATTTATTCATATATAATATAATATATAAAAGCTATTTTTATAATTTTAAATATAATTATATGAAATTTATATATAAGTGTGTAATCAGGCTAAGCTCAGGTTAAATGCTAGTTTAGGACCAGCCCAAGAAAAAAAGGGTTGTGCCAGCCCCGAACCTGAGAACTAAAATATCAAATAAAACCTAAGCCCAATTCATGTAAAATTGTAGGCTAGATTGGTTTGGGTTCGGATTAGGCTCATCCAAGTTGCATTTCCTACTCACCCCAAACTAGCCGTCTTGGGTTTTCCCAAGTCCAAACAAGATTTTCACGTGGCCCATTCCAGACTCCAGAGTCGCTTAGGGAAGAAAAAATCACCAAAATGACCCACTATGGCATTATCAAACCTACTCAATCATCAACCAACCTATAAATCACGAATTTTAGATCAAAAACAGAATTAAGTAGAACTGTGGACTTGACAACTATAGGCTTCTTCACTAATGTTTCTGTGGTGAGAATGGTGTTCTGATACTTCCCCAAGTTCCTGGTTCCGGATAGTGTAGAGCTTGCTTTCTCCAGTTTCTAGATTCTGACGCTACGAAATAGAATTAACCCAGCAAAGAGCTTGGATCTGCTGACCACAAAATGCTAGCCACATCCTGTGCACAAGACACCACAGTTGCGCTGCACATTGAGAACATCTCCCCATGGATGACAATAAATAATACAAGAGATGTATGTATGTTCCTGTTGTGAGATTATAGGGCGTCATGCATAGTGTTTTTTGTGGTCAGCAGATCTGGACTCATCCCCAGCAAATGCCTCTGCATTTGTCTATGTTCTTGCTAGAAAGAATTTCCTCTCATAACTTTCTCCTGTTTGCAAGTATCCACTGTATCAATTATGCACAATTGCACACCAGTCACCAGAGTAAGAAAGAAAAAAGATTCCATGTACAAGGGGTTATCGGCTCCTTCCCATTTGGAGCATCATACATTTGAATTCTGTAAATCAAATCATGTACCCATGTATGGAAAAACTGGTGTCAGACATCAAAAGAGGCAAGGTACTGATATAGAGATAGAAACGTCTGAGGTTTTCCTTTGCAAGGTTTGCCGTGTCAATCACATCGCTGTTCCTGGTCAGGACCCACAAATCTCTGCAACTGACTCTCTTTAAACTACCACGGCAAAAAGGGCAGGACTGAGATCTCATGTTCCTGTTGTTGATTCAAAAAATAAACTTATTAGTAATGCTTATGGGAATTTTGTTTGATTGAATAATAAATTTGGGTTCTGTTACCAGTCATGGAAGCAGCTGATGCACATGGAATGGCCACAGTTGGGCAACACCATCCTGGTACAAGATTCCATACAAATACTACATTCATCCTCTCTTTCTGAATCCTTGAGGGAAACCTTCCTCCTCTCTACCACCTTCTTCTGGTTCAATACATCCAGGCAGTGACTTCTCTCATTCCTATCTTCCAATTCATCTAACTCACCTTCTAGTTGCTGAAGTAAAGGATATATTACAGCTGCAAAGGATTTCAAATTAAAAAATAAAATAAGGGAAAAGCTATTTATGAGCACTGGAAATAGTGGGAATCAGGGGGATGCCATAAAACATTACAAACCATAGAATTCCCTAAGAGTGGCTCTCCTTTCATGCGAAGATATGGTTGTCATTCCATCAATATATGCCTGTACAGTTGAAAAAAGCTTAATCCTGGTTGTCCAATAAATCAATAATATAACAAACAATAAAATAAATGATAGCTTAGTACATATTATGAACTTCATCATGAGTTCATATTTCCTTATGAGAAGCATAAGGCTGCCTTTGCCTTAGCTTAACTTGGCTGTTTAATTATAAAGGAAAGGAAAAGCACCTATTCTGGACCTGTTTCCACAAAATAATTGATGATTCTGGCAAAACCAGACACATTTGCTGCTCCATTCTAGTTTAGACAAACAAAAAAAGACACCAAAAAACTAAGCTGAAGGCAGCCTAACTTCAGACTCAGAGGAAGAAAAACCAACTAACCTTGTATATAATTATGTGGAGAAGGCCTAAATAGCTTGGGAGGGTATCTGCACAACTAAAATCCATCCATTCAATGAAAAGAAGAAAGAATGGTGCAAAGGGGCTGTAGGACAATCTCATCTGAACGCACTCCCCATCATGGTCTCTTGGGAGAGCAGCTGCCCTGCAAATGCAAAGATCATGTTTTGAGTCTCTGGGTTTGTTTTGAAAATATATGTATAAAACATATAAGTAGAACAGACAACACTTCTTCTCATGAACTCGCCTATAATGCCCGTAAATATAACAAAATAGTTGTAGTAAATAGCAGCAGGAACTCTTCATGTAATGTTTCAAGCACATCTTAATGGAGTTATCCTTTTTTTCTGCTAAAAAAAACCCAAATTGCAGTCAATCAATTCCATCCGGATATAGACTTTTCTCCTTTCCCGGGCTTTGGAGAAAGGAGCGAGATAAAAAAGATGGAAAAGGGTGCAAATGAACTATATAATACAATCTCATCGTACCGATGTTCCTACCATGAGCTCAGTTCGGAACGAGTACAGATACAAATATGTAGAATGCAAAAACTTGTATTTTTTATTATTTTATATGTATTTGTACTGTACATATTTGTATTTGTATTCTTTCCAAACTAAGCCAATAGCAACTGACTTCTGTTTCTTTTCCTGAGTTTACAGAAAAAAAAAAAAAGTTTCAACTGAGCGAACAAGGGTTCCCACGTATGCTTTTGGAAGAGTACAATTGTTCGCTTGTTATATACCATAACAATCAAATTATTAGAACGACATTTATCAATTGTTCGCTTTTTGACATTCTAATTTTATAGGGGAACAAATGGTTTAAACCATATTTCAATTTCTGAATAACAAGGTGCACAGAAGGTGAAAGCTACAAATACCTAGAAGCCAAAAGGAAAATAAAAATAAAAAGACTATGAAGAAAGAAGTAAAGAAAGTTAGGACATACAGCTTATTAGCATGTTGTATATCAGCTTCAAGAGCTTTGATAGATTCTCTGTAAGAAGACTTACTGGGTTGTCTTTGCCACATCTCCTTTACTTCTGAGAAGAAAGGGAAAAAAAGGAAGGCTAAAGGCGAACAAAAAAAAAGGCTTTTGGGTGTTATCTTGGGAGGAGAATTTTGGACGGGAAGGTTAGAGAGAGAGAGATTTTAAGAAGGGTAACGAGAGAAGTTTGCTTAGCATGGAGACATTTCCCCGTAAGTAAAGAAAAGAATGTCTTGCCTTTCTTCTCACATATTTCCTTGCTTCCCTCTACTCTATTTGAATTAATGGCGAGAAAAAAATTAGATAAACGAGAAATTCCATTGAAATAAATAACCAATATATATTTGCAGCATGGACTGGATTCCAAATCCAGTAGGTAACAGTCCATTCCAGGAATGTACAAGGAATAATAGGGATCTGCATAATAACATTACAGAGTAGTGAAGACGATAAAAAAGGGAAAATTCCCGATTAGTATATATCTTTTAATTTGGGCCTAGTACCATTTTGGTTATTGGGCCTTAAAATGCAATAAGTATTTGAACTTTGAAAAGGTGTCAAGCCGGTACCTACACTTAACCAACCGTTAAGTAGCACTTGAAAAAGATATAAATGCTCTTTGAGTGTCATTTGATTTTCTTTATCAACCATTCTAACGTTGATAAAAATTTAACAATCCCAAATTCTTACTTTTTATATTCAAGAAAGTTGGGGTCACGTTTCAGTGGGCATTTTGGACCTCAATTTTCTTGAATAAAAGAGGCAAGGATTTAGGACTATTACTTTTTTTGTCAATGTTTGAATGGTTGATAAAGAAAATTAGATGACACTTGAGGGCATTTGTGTCTTTTTAAAGGCCATTTAATAATTGGTTAACAGCTGATTAAGGATAGGTACTGGAATGACACATTTTGAAAATTCGGATATTGAATTGTTGTATTTTTTCAGAAACCTAAGCAATATGACAAGCTTAGAATCCCCTTCAAGAATGATTGATAAGGTAGTATGGATGATAAATTACAATATGACTCACTCCATCCATGCTATTTATGAAGCAAGACACAATATCCAACCACCCCATGATGTGCTCGACCTTGGGGTTTGGTGTTGGGTGGGCCCTATATGGGTATTTTGGGGTTAAAAATAAAGGTCATTTACTAAACCACCCCTATAATTTTATGGATTTATTAAAACTTATCTTATAGTTTGTATTTTACTAAAACATCCCTTATAACAATTTGATCCTAATGTGCTTTTGAATAAATTTAATCAAAAGTAAATAAAAATAAGAATACAATTTTCCCCTAATAAGACACAATCAACACTTTATTTAGTCAATTTTGTTTTTCATATGAAGAAGTGTAAGGGGTACTTTTTGAATAAACATTCATGGATCCATGCCTTTGAACATTTTTCACTCAATTTAGGTAATCATATTACTATTTTCAGATGGCAAAACAAACACTTCTCAGTGAATGGTAGATTTAGTCAATAGGTTGCAACCTATAGGGGTGTTTTAGTAAAGTAAAAAATTATAGGGTAGGTTTAAGTAAAACTAGAAAACTATAAGGGGTGTTCTAATAAATGACCCTAAAAATAATTAGTAACGCCTGTTGACCTTGGTCTTTGTATGATTTGATTCCAATGCAATTACATGGGATCAAAGTCTCTCTTTTATTCTTTTTTTTCTTTTGGCTTCACAAGATCTCTGTTCTCTGCTTTTCATACATCTTTAGTTCTTGGGTGGTGATGACTTGGGTGATATTTGGTACCATTGGTTGTTTTACTTAAACACTACCACATGAGCACCATTAAGCGTTTTGAGTTTAAATGTGAATTATCTATTTGATTAAGACCGTTTTGAGTTTTTGTAATACGTTTTTTTTTTTCTATAAACATAACCATGGGGAGAGTGAGGAAACATCAATTCCATCAGCTGCTCATTTGTAATATGTTTTTTTTATAAACATAACCATTGAATTAAAGATCGATTGAATGGTGTCACATCGAATATAATTATTTCATTTAAGCATTTTGAGGTGGCAATGCAAATGCCAAACACAATACTATACTGCACAAAACACTTCTTCAATGTCTAATCAGCATAAGCACAACAAAACAAGTTTTATGTCAAAATGCCTACGTTGGTGTTTTGGCATGAAATGTCATACCCTCTTTCAACATTAATTTGAGCCTGAAGTGAAAATGGTATCAAACACAACATTAATTGTATAGGAAAATTTTGCCACAAAACTAATTTTCTTTTTACACTTTTCTATTTTTATCTCCGAAATTGTAAGAAAAACAAAAAAAAAATCAGAAAAGTTAGAGAAAAACTAATTAGGTCTGATTTACTTTTCTAAATCCTAATTCTTTTCTAGTTCTTTCCTCTTCTTTTTCTCTCATTCTCTTTCCAACTGCCACATGTAAGGGGGGTTCCAAGCATGGTTTTCAAAATATCTTTGACCCAGACAATCAAACCGCTCAACCTGAAAATTGGCCACCTATTTAGTTTCGTTTACCCCATGGGCTAGATTTTTCTAAAAAGTAACTAATGCAGACGGTTGAGCCATTGAATCTTTTGACCTGGGCAACGGTTTACAGTTTAAATTTAAAAACTTAAAATCAAGAAAAGGTTACGTTGGACTTGTTAGCGGGGAATAGGAAAGGAATTGACTGGTTGCTAGAGAGAGAGATTTGAGATAGGGCGGTTACTCTTTCTTCTTTCTTTCTTTCTCAGCGACTTTTCTCACTCTCTCCCCTCTAATAATATGCATATCTAACCCTAATATCTCGATCTAGTGGCCAAGATGCAATAAACAACAAACAATAGAAATTGAATTCATCTGTTGTGACCCATTTGAATTAGATGGTTAAACCTTATCGGAGAATAGAAAGAAAATGTTCAGTTTTTCAAAACCTTGACTCCAGTAACACATTGATAATAATAATAATAATAATAATAATTAAGATGATCACTCAGCATTATTTTTGAAAATATGGGATCAGACCCTCAAAAATGAGAACTCTCCATAGCATGGTCAGTGATCCTTACGTACTAATATAGAAAAACAAATAATAATAATAATAATAATAATAATAATAATAATAATAATAATAATAAATTAAGGATTCTAGTATTCTACCATGAAAACAATCTTGGCTAAAATAATTAAAATTAGCTTGAAATATTATATCATTTAAATTGGGAAAAAACATTCCAACTTTTACAAATAAGAAAATTATGCAAGGTTAGGGACGAAAATTTCCAGGGTCCACAGGCCTAGGTTAGTAGGTTAAGGCCCTCATACGAGGCCTAAGCCCTGTCAGCCCCATGATCATTATGCAAATCTAAAGTTTTCTCAAGCAACGTACCCTAAATTATAATAGGGAGAAAGATGGTCGGCCCAATGTTAGAATTTATAGGCTCAAGATATATTTGGGGTAGGTGTTAGTTTGGAATTGATGTTAATTCATAGACGGATATAGGTGTATAGAGTGGGTTTTTTATCTTTTGAATGTTTATAACTCTACAGTGAAAATCAGAAATCTGCATTGGACCTGTCATACTTCTCCACTTTTAAAATGGACTTAAATATACCTTGTGAGCTGTTCCCAGTAGACTTAAACATACCCTCCATTGGTAAAAGTTAAATATAAACTCAAAAAATAAAAAATAAGAATCCTATTTTAAAAATCTAAAACTGTACCTACCTACAACCGCACACTCACACCAACTAGGCTTCTTACCAATTGAACAATCAGTAAACATGAGTTTATTTTGTCATGTTTACTGGAAAAGCCCAAATGCAGCTATCATGATGATAAACTGTTTAATAAACCACCTGAGTTCAACCAGACAGTGAGTAAATATGACTATTCAACCCAAGTGAACCATGATATGCCCACCACCCAGGTGAACCATAAAACCCAGCTATTCATGATACAATAGGCCAAACAATCACTAATCTAAAACCTGATGTTTTCTATCAGGCTGCATGTTTTCCCAAAAGAAAATACCACTTCAATTGTTAAACCCAGGTAAACCCAAAACCCAGCTCCAATAATAACAGTATAACACATCAACAAGAATTATTCTCATTACTTTTTTTTTCAAATTAAGTTTTGTTACTCACAACCTAATAGTAACAATAGAAAGACTTCTAAAGGATGGAAATTAGAAACATTAAGAAAAATGGTTTTATCTTTTCTTCGGTTCTTTTTGAAAATTTAAATAAAAATGGAGGATAAAAAGGTCATAAGTATATTTAAGTCCATTTTAAAATCTCAAGGTATCTTAAGTCAATTTCTGAAAATTTAGGGTATACTCAAGTCTTTTACTTTTTTTTTTACAAATGCACAGTAAACTATACAAAGTCCAAGTGATACAAGAAAAAAAGGCATTTTTATATGAATAAGGGGCCATTGGATAACAGTTGAAATGCTTAACTAAAAAATTGTTATCCAACGGTGATGATGGTGCAAGCTAGAAAAAACTGGGAGGAGTATGTTTCTTTTTTGCAGGGTTCAGGCACCTCAAAACCAGAAAAGAAATGGGTGGATATTTATTGGTGTTCGTCGAATCATAGCATGATCAAAATCAACTTTAATGCGTCTCCATCGAGTGATGATAGATGCTCTATTGCGGCAATGGCGAAAAATCACCTTGACAGAATGTTGGACTATAAGGGATGCAGCATCAATCGGCATCTCTTCAATCAATGCTGAGGAGGCCTAGGCTGCGTAGGAGGCCCACAACCTGACTACAAACTTCTTGGATCATCAAATTATCATTGAAGGTTATTTGAGTCTTGTCACTGCTTGCCTCAAGGGAAATTTTAAGCCCCCCTGGTTGATTAGAAATATTGTTAAAGAGTGTTTACAGATCAAAGACCCGCTTCTATTTAGAATAGAGTATAGGCATGTGTTTAGAGAAGTTAATAAAGCAGCTGACTTGATAGTGGGCAAGATTAATTAAGTGGGGAATGGCCATTTTTCTTTTGAATCAAAAATAAATAAATAATGGCTGAACCTGAAACTGAAGTTGGGTAAATTTTTGTTATTTAATTATTTTAACAACTGAAAGTCTTTCAGTTCAGCAATTTAAAGCTGTCAAATTTGCTTTCGTAAATGGACAGTTCCAATTCCACATCTGCATATGAACATAAAGAAGCTTACCGAAAAAAGCTCTCCCTTTCTCTCTTATGTTTGCCACCCTTAAGCTAATAAGCTTGCCACGTCAACAAGAAAACAATTTGTCAAGTTAATGATTAAATAAATTGTCATTCTTAAAAGTAGCGACCCCATCTCGAACCACTTTACAAGCTTTGTTATTAATTGTTAGGCTCCTCTCCAATACCTTGTATTAAAGAAACAACTGCAAGACAACAAAACAAAGAAAGGATCATCTCCAAAATGGCAACAACCCCTCTAGAGGAAAGAATAAAGGTAAATTATATAAATTTAGAAGCTGAAGCTGAAGCTGATATAGACATGGGCTTTGAATTAGAAACATTCATCCAAAGAAATTAAAGAGAACCCAGATTTAATTTGACCCATATTAGTGATTGTGATTCACTGATTTGCGAATCCCCATCTACATATATAGGTAGATACTGAACTTCAATACCCATCATGGTGGGAGAAATGATGAGAATCAAATGCAAAACCCCCTCCCCCCCCCCTTAAAAGAAGAGCCTCTGTATATTGCATTTGTTTCCAATTCTTTCTTGGGAAAACAAAATAGCAATGCGAATCCCTCCGTCTCGCCCCAAACAGTGCCCGGATATAACTCTATTCTTTTTAAAAAGAACTTCCCTTTCCGGTTCTTTCTTTCTTTCTTTTCCCTCCTTTCTCTCTTCCCCTTATGGCTCAGTTGGCCTTATCTCAAAAGATGATCCATTGAATTTCCAGTGCACAAAAGAATAGCTTAGCTGGTTGCGCATGCAACAAATACATTATTCTAATACACATATTAATATAAAATACCCATTCAGCATTCACATATGAATATAGAAATACAACGCCACTTAGCATTCAAAACTCAAAACCCCAATGGAATCTCACAAGTATTAGTCTATGATCTGGGATCTCCAGACTTAATAGTGTTTTCCACGTGTCAAGTTTTGCATTCCAACCGTTGAATTGGTCTCAGAGGGCCATTATAGATCATAAATGGAAACTGGCACTGCAATGGGGAGTGAGTGATAAGGGTGCCCATATTGAATCATAAAATCCTTTATTCTAATGCACCCTAATCTTCTATATCCGGATACCGCTTCATTTTTTCATTCTTAAATAATTCATGCTGCTAAATTTGGAATACTTAATTAATTGCCCTTTCCAGTTAGGCCTATAAATATTATTACTACTTGAGAGATACTCCCACACTCATGACTGAACATTTTGCAGAGAGAGAAAGAGAGAGATGGGTGGTGAGATTGTTGGGAGGTTGGGAGGTGGAGGTCTTGCGAGGCTAAGAGAGTCATGGAGAAGACAGGAGAGGAGTCTCAATGAAAGAGTTTCAAAGAGCAGAGTAGGGAGATACTTCAAACTAGAGGCCAGAAAGAGCTGCTTTACAAGGGAATTACGTGCAGGGACTGCTACCTTCCTTACGATGGCGTACATCATCAGCGTCAACGCCACGTTGCTTGCAGACTCCGGTGGAACATGCTCCGTCTCCGATTGCTCCACCGCCATGCATCTGGGAAATAATGCATCAGCAGCATCCACACCGCACCACCACCACCGCCACCAGCAGCCAGCTCCGGACTGTAAGTTCAAGCCAAATGTGGGTTATCAGAACTGCTTAGCCAAAACCAAAAGCGACCTCATAGTGGCCACTGCCTTGTCTTCCATGATTGCATGCTTCGCAATGGGCTTACTGGCCAACTTACCTTTCGCCCTAGCGCCAGGTATGGGGGTTAATGCCTACTTCACCTATAACTTAGTGGGCTTTCATGGATCCGGACCCATGTCTTACCAGACCGCCCTGGCCATAGTGTTTGTGGAAGGTTGCATCTTTCTTGTAATCTCTGCACTTGGTTTACGAGCAAAGCTTGCTCGTCTTATTCCCAATCCAGTCCGGCTCGCCTGCTCAGCAGGTATTGGGCTTTTCATTGCATTCGTGGGCCTTCAACCCCACCAAGGTATTGGCCTCGTAGGCCCAAGTTCTTCAACATTGTTGACACTCACAGCTTGCTCCCATACAAACCCACTTACGGGCGAGTGCCAAGGTGGCAAGATGCAAAGCCCCACATTCTGGCTGGGTGCCGTTGGCTTCCTGATAACTTGCTATGGATTGATGAAGGAAATCAATGGCAGCATGATCTACGGGATTCTCTTTGTGACACTGATTTCATGGATCAGGGGAACCTCTGTAACATATTTCCCCGACACCCCTCTTGATAACGCCAACTACGAATATTTCAAGAAGGTGGTGGACTTCCACAGAATTAAGACCACCGCTGGAGCTTTTAGCTTCAGAGAGTTCAACAGAGGCAACGTCTGGGTGGCCTTAGTGACGCTGCTCTACGTGGATGTGCTGGCCACAACAGGGATATTGTACTCGGTGGCCCAAGTTGGAGAATTCGTAGATGATGAAAACGGAGGGTTTGAAGGTGAATACTTGGCGTACGTGGTGGATGCAAGCTCGACGATTGTGGGCTCGGCGCTAGGAACGTCGACCATGGCTACGTACGTAGAATCGTCGGCGGGGATCAGAGAAGGGGGGAGAACGGGATTAACCGCTCTGACTGTTGGGTTTTACTTCTTGTTGTCGTTGTTCTTCACGCCTCTTCTGGCAAGCGTTCCTCCATGGGCCATAGGGCCTTCTCTCGTCATGGTTGGAGTGATGATGATGAGGGTGACCAAGGATATAGAGTGGATGAAGGTGAAGGAAGGTGCGCCTGCATTTGTTACCATGTTGCTCATGCCACTCACCTATTCTATATCCAATGGAGTTATCGCTGGGATTGGCCTTTACCTGGCTCTGAGCTTGTATGATTACATACAGAGCTCTATGAGATGGTTGGTGAAGATGATGAACAGGGTACTTGTGGGTGGAGTTCAAAACCAGGTCTCTGCTACTACTGCTAATGCAGATCCAACGGCTGAACTCTTGTAATTTTTATCTTTATCAGTAGGTAGAAGTAAGCAGTTAGCAGTTATTTTCTGAAAAAAAAAAGAATGTAAAGTAGCCAGCTACCATATTTATTATTTAATACATACATTTAATATGTCTGTGCTATTTGGAAATGTCACCCAGGTGTCATGGAAGAAAATGAACTCCTGGCACCCCGTTCCCATAGTTAATCTCAATCCTACTTTTGTTTGGTATACAGAGAATTTGGACACGATGATAGACATTTGATATTTCTGTCAAGAGAAATTGGAGGCTGATTCAGGCCAATCCGGGTTGGGTTGGGAAGGATGAACCAAAAATCAACTATCTGGCAAGTGGCATCTGCTTGCTAGATGCTAATCCATCCCATGAGCCATGAGCAGCTGGATCCTGAATTGGTTCAAATTGATTATGTTTCGTCGCCAATCCACCTTTTCCCAATGTAGCAGGAAAGGAATGATCCGGTTCGTATAACTGGATTGATGGATTCAGATGCTACGAAACCACATAGCCTGGTTCATCCGGTCTAATGCGTGTAGGCCCAGGCCCATAAAAAGAAAGAGATTCTGTCTCGTTACGTTACGCGCATCATGCTACGGCATAGATTTGGAATTTTGGATATTCCTCTAGCTGTCTTGGAACAAAGAGAAATGGACGTTAATTACTATATACCCGTTTGGGAGGGTAGAAGCGCAGCGGCTTCTCCCTTTCATGAAAAATCCGGAGAGCCCAAATTGGGTGTTTAATCAATCATTTGAAGAAAGTTGAATCAATTTAGCTGAATCTTCATCTCAGCCTTCCCAATCGCCACTCGCCCCTTTGTCCTTCCAGGCTCCAGCTTGATTATCAAGTGGGATTGGAAGAGATTTCTCTAAGGATGTGTTTGACATGCTTTTGAAAAATTAATTCTGATGAATTTTGTGATTCTAAGAGTCACTTCTAAGCTGGATTTATGTGAGTAATTGGAACTTTTTTTTTTGGAGTGAAAACTCGTTCTAAGAATTGATTCTATTAAAAAAAAAAGGAATCTTTTTTTTTCACAAAACTCATATTTCAAATAGTGATTCATTGAAGCAAAATCTGAACCAAACACAGCCTAAGCTTCAGTGGGGATTGGATCAATTGTCAACAGAGATCCGTCCAATGGGCATAAAGAGGGACCAAGTGGAATGAAGTGGATCCAGACAATTCTAACATTTGGTAGATCAGCTCTGGAACTAGATCCATACCATTCACTTGCTTACCTGCTCAACCTCACATTCCCCCTTTACTGAACTGTCCAAGAAAAATGCAAGATGGTCCCCTATAATTAAAAAAGTCTTTTTTTTTTCTCATATCCATACATATGACCAACCTATGAGCCACTATCCAATCAATCTGGACCATTCAATCAGCAACAGGGTATGAACTAAACCTATTAATCTAAGTAGCTTATCTTAACCAGAACGATGGAGTGAAAGCATCACATGAGGTGAAGGCGATGATCAAGGGCATCTAATGTATGTCATTGAAACTGCAACGCAAAACAGAGACTGAAAAGGAGGCCAGCAGAAAACCATTTTATAATAAGCTAAAGCAAAAAGATGGAGTCCAAACTATAAAGAACTCTGCAACCCTCACCATCACCGTATTTGTTTCTTTTGCCTTTTCTTTCCTTGAAGATTCTCTCCACTTTTTTTTTTTTTGCATGGCTAAAGGCTATCTACTTATCAAATTAAATACCCATTTCAATCTTTTCCTTCTTACATGTACACACAAGACACAAGCATGTGGGTTAAGGATTCGTCCTTAAGGCTGTGTTTGGTTTGAAGGAAAATGTAGGAAAAGGAAGGGAAAGACAAGAAAACCTATACAAGGTTTGTAAAGGTTTTCTACATTTCCCTTCCTTTCCCTACATTTTTCTTCAAACCAAACATAACCTAATAGTTCGTATTTTCTACGTGAGAGATCTCCCCATCCTAATCATCATTTAATCACAGAAGCTTTTTGTGCAATGCAATATCAAGACTCCTGTACGTGGTCTATTTATCAGATGGTTAGAATGAACAGAATTGGCAACTTCTGCTTTCCTCTCCGTTGAATGGTGTCTTTCCAAACTTTGCTTCACACTATGAAAAAGGTTGCATGCTGCTGCTTGTGGGAATAAAAACAGGTGAAAGAGTTCAACTGGAGAATGGACATTATCTTTTTAAAATCCAGAAAAAGGGAGATTTGAAATTGATCCTTAAACAATTATAATGACAAAAAAGCAGATTCCAAGATGAAAAGTTATACGTGAATGAAAATTACATACACACACCCACACACCTCATCCATCTATAAAAGTAAAAGTTGGGTGGAGAGAAGATGGATGAGCTCTTGAACTTTAACAAGAAGTTCTAGATTTTCATCTAAAATGGGATGACAGACAGAACGAAGCATCAAAGGGTGTGGCTAGCCTTTCTAGTCTTCAATGGATCTATTTTCCTACTTTCTTGTTATATTTCTTCAATTAACTCTTGTTTCCTGCCAACTTAAAGGTGCGTATTTCTATTGAATCTGCAATAATATATCTATGATATTTGTACACAATTTATTTGTAAAAACATCTCTAATCAACACCAGGAACCATGCTTTACAATTATTAGCATCTTTATTTCTGAGTATCATCATGCTGCAAATGCAAAACTGATTCAGTGATTTGAGAATTCCTTGTAAACTAAACCACACAAAGTATATTTGCTAGTAAGCTAAGATTTAGTCTGATTGGCACAAACAAAACATAAGTTCTTTCAAACTGATAAAAGGATTTCTACTTTGTGAGCAGACTAATTAAATATAGAGAATTTCAAACTAGTCATAACCTTGTTAAGTTAATGAGCAGAGTTTGTCAGTATAGACTGTGGAGGGATTAGTAATTACACAGATCCAAGTACTGGACTAGCATGGATTTCTGATACTGGATTCACTACACATGGTAAGGTGGTAAAAGTTGACACTCCAAAGGATAACATGCTACAGTATCAGAGACGCAGAGACTTCCCAGCAGACAGGAAGAAGTACTGCTATACTCTACAGACCACTGCAAGAAGACGGTATCTTGTCCGAGCAACATTTCAGTATGGCGATTCTAACAGTGAAGACTCATACCCCAAATTTCAGCTCTACTTGGATTCTACCATGTGGTCAACCATAACAGTTTTGGATTCTTCAAGAGTATATGTTGAAGAAATAATCATCAGGGCAACCTCCACCTCTATCCATCTCTGTCTCTGTTGTGCAACAACAAGTTCTCCTTTCATATCGACTCTTGAGTTACGCCCTTTAAATCTGTCAATGTATGCTACAGATTACGAGGATGATTTCTTCCTCAAGGTTGCAGCCCGAGTTAATTTTGGTGCTCTAAGCAAGGATGCCATTAGGTATGTACTCTGAAGATTCTTATCTAAGTCTATAAATCCATCAGCAGTTAATCATATTTTATCATCATCATTTGATGTCAAATCAAAGCATCATAGAATGAGATAATAGAGAACATCAAATCATATTACAATCATTATATCCCAAGAGTAAGACCATAACTGGGACATGGGATTCTCTGGATATTCCAAGTCCTTGTGCTTCTCAGACATCATCAGTGAAAGAAATTCAAAAAAGCATGCAATTGGTAGGAGTCTTATACAGGGAAATGGCTGTTTGGGGTTCTATTTGTAAGCTTAGGGGCATTTTCCTTGGTGATTTAACCTTGCCTTTACTTGGTCATTTGCATTCTTCTTCCTTTCTGAAGTATTTTCCTCTGTTATACTAAGTACAACACTTGGGAAACGGTGCTACTATCTCTCTCACTTATAACATAATCAACCCAGACAGATAAGGCTCAAAGAAAAATAAAGAAACAAGAAAGAAAATAGAAAACTAAATTGATGAGCTAGTTCAAAGATCATAAGGAAAAAAGAACTAGGCCACAATTGCTGAACCACAGCAAGAGCAGATTTATAAATTAACATGTTCACCAATATCTAGATTCTATTTTAAGACAAATGTCATGTTGAAAGATCAGTGAAGAGGTACTAATATTTTCTTTTTTTTTTTCCTTTACTAACAGGTACCCAGATGATCCCTATGACAGAATATGGGATTCAGACCTAGATAGAAGACAGAACTATCTTGTGGGGGTTGCTCCTGGCACAGAAAGAATCAATACCTCCAAGAACATAGACATAAGAACACATGAATTCCCACCTGTTAAAGTAATGCAGACTGCCGTAGTTGGCACCAGAGGGCAACTCAGCTACAGGTTAAATCTTGAAGGTTTTCCTGCTAATGCTCGAGCTTATGCATATTTTGCTGAAATTGAAGATTTGGGTAAGAATGACACTCGGAAATTTACTATGCAGCAACCTCGAGTGCCTGGTTATAACAATATCATAGTAAACATTATTGAGAATGCCAATGGGAGCAACACTCTTTATGAACCCAGCTATATGAACATATCCCTGGATTTTGTACTGTCATTTTCACTTGTCAAAACTTTAGATTCTACTCGTGGACCACTCCTAAATGCAATTGAAATCAGTAAATATGTGCAGATTGTCCCAAAGACAGAAAGCAAAGATGGTAAGTCTATTTAACGATTTCATTTCTGCCTTGTTGCAGTTACTCAGATTATTTCTTCATCATTTCCTGTCAGTTATATATGATCTAATGAGTAATAGTGTTCTCAATTGGAAGCAATAACTTTGGATATCCTACGATCCTTGTCCCCTGGAAGTGATTGGGCTCATGTGGAAGGTGATCCTTGTAATCCAGCTCCATGGGAATGGGTTATATGCAGCTCCAGCACACCGCCAAGAATTACTAAGCTGTAAGTCTTTCATACCTTGTCTCTGGAATACAAATTCCAGTTGATGCATTGCCATATTAAATAAATGGCATATAAAGCTATAAGATGCACAAATGGTAGATTGATATAACATGCTTCCAGAAGCATATATGTTTATGCAGAGAAAGAGATCAGAGCCAACAGTTAATAGCTGTCGCCTCTGAAATGAAAAAGAAAAAATTGTATTCAGTTATATGATCCTATAATCCAATTGTAGAGAACACTGATGTGGGCCCCACAGCTGTGGTCCCACTCTGTCCGTAGGGTAGAATGTACCTAGTCATCCTAGGGTTAGCTGATGGTCAATCTGTTATTCTAGTTGTTATTTATATTTCAGTTTTATATTGTTTTATGTGTTATGTAAATACCAAGGGCAGATGTGTCCTTTCATGTAACTASCATAACCTATAAATATTAAATAGAAGTGGCGGCAGCAGAACATTTTGAGATTCTGTCCTTCCTTTCAAATTTTGTGTTCTACTGCTCTCTCACTACTCTTTCTCCTCTTCCCTCTATACTTTCTCTCCTTTTTTGAATCTGAAATTTATTAGTGCTCAAGACTGATAGCAGTCTTGAACATCTACATGGTATCAGAGCAAGGTTAGGGTTTCTCATGTGAGTCTAGTACCAGCCGACCACATGAGAATCTCCTAGGACTGGAAGCTGAAAAGGTGGAGTTCGCAAACTGATTCTTGGAGATCGCCAGAAGGTTTAGCAGTTGTTGAAGGCTTGTCACGGTTGTAGAGTGTTGGTGGTTAGAAAGAATCAGAGAAGACTAGGGTTCGGGTAACCTTGGAAGGCTGCGAACAGTTTTTTTCTTGTAAGTTATTTACTTTATAAGAGAAGTTCTATCAGAGAAGATAGGTTGGACCTATCTGGAGAGGGCGGCTGAACCATTCTAGGGTTTTCTTCCTTCTATTCTCTAGGGTTTTACAGCAAACCCTATGTTGGGCCGAACTGCCTTAGCTTTGTTTCTCTCTACTCTAGGGTTTGAAAGTGATCTTGCGGCAAGCCCTAGTGTTAGACTGAACCTTGCGATC